ACAACAATAACTATTATGTAAACAGTGCTACTCGGTAACTTTTTAATTTAATTCGACAATAAGGTTATTTTACGTTTCCTTCAAATCTACAATCGCGTCTATCTATTAATTTTATTGTAGATTTACAATATTCAATTTGATATATTATTGCATCTAAGCTATTAGAATGTAAATATATTTATTCATATTTACTAACTAATCGAGATATCATCGCAGCCTTAATAATGTTTAAATGAGGAAAATTCTTTCTTAATAATTTATAAAAGGACATGCAACGAAGTTCAAATCTCTATTAAAAAGTTTTTGTTTTTCAAATATCTAAATGACAATACACAATGCATTTGCATTAAATGTTTATGATCTTACGTCTTCAAATTCGGTGACATTTCGTTATCGTACAAATTAAGTAAATAATTTATAAAATAGAAGACAAAACTTGTTATTGACATACGACTTTCTTTTTTTTCATTCTGCACTCGGTTAGAAAGAACAAGCATTATGTAAGTCATGTACAAAAAACATTCTATGTTACGCTCAATTACATCCATTACAGACATTAACCGAAGAGAAAGTGTATTGTTATAATAAATTTAATACAAAAGATTTAAAATCAACAATAATTTTAATTTATTTAAAAACGTATACATATTATTATACCGACATACGTGTATTCTATACGTGCATAGTATTTGTAATAATCTAATTACCTCTCAGTAGTGACAAACAATAATTCAAATTTATCGTATGAACAAATACATTGCAAGTTTGTTTTATCAGTAATGAAAGGAATCAGTTTTATAAATTTCATATTAGCATTATATATAAAACAAAGTACTTTAGAGGAAACAATAGAGTATAATAAATAGTGCACAATTGAAAAACGATTATATTCGTACCTACTTGCAGAATAAATGAATTTTATGTAATATTAAAATGAAGTCGTAATAACTTTTAATTTAATCCCAAAGAAACAACATAAACATTATATCCGATAGTGTTTTCTTATTGTTTACAGCAACACATAACCGATTTTTCATATATCCACATTATTTTGAATTAAAAATTTTATAAATACATTGCATAGATTAATTTATAGCTAAGATTGCGACTCTATTCATCAAAATTATCCGTGTAGTTCTGAAATCGCACATCACAAGTTGAATAATCTTTAAGTAATAGAAATGCAATTGTAAAATTGTATAATTGATTCTTACAATTAGAGTAGTTATATTATTAGTAGTTATAAACGTACGCAAAACATCGACGTTCGACACTTTCACATAATCGCAAACAAAAAATAATTAATTCGAATGCTGATATAGCTCACATCATTAACAATTATCAAATCAATTATTTCACAATACGGAAATATTTTTCCGTGTCAAAATAAAATCCATACAATTTCAATTTTTGGTGCTTTTTTTTTATTACGATTTCTTAAAATAATATTTTTAAAATTCTCTATACAAATAAAGTTATTAATTTAATGCAAATAAAACAACTTTCATGTACCAACATGTTTATAATTCATGGTAATTGAATTCGATTCATTCTACAAGTTTCTTTCTAATCTTTACGTACGAAATGTGCACTCGTAATAATTCAATATTTAGCCTTCAATTCGCTTAATTGCAATTAAAGTACGAATTACTAGTTTATTTTTAAACAATTTATGTATCGCAAATTTACATGTTCATAAATTTGACGTTAAAATTATGCTATATAATTGTACACTTAATTTTACTAAAACGAAATTTTAATTAAAATTTCACTTTTTTTCGTCATAAAAACATATTTTAAATTGATTATGCGTAAAAACTTTTCTTTTTATATTTTACAAGTACATTTCTAAAAATAATAAACTTTCAAAAACACAAATAATTCAAAATGTTGAAAATACAATATAAAATGCTAAAATTAAGAAGAAATAATTAAAACATTTTATAAAACTTTTTAAAGACTTTTTTGCAAAATATCTATGATAAATGTGTAGCATATTTTATTTCATATAAATGTAATATTATCAGTTTATTGCGATTTCATATTTCACTCAATAAAACAAATTTCAAATAATATAAACAGAATTATAGAAACATAGTAAATTTAAATAAAATAAAGGGCTGACTAAATTACATACACACAATTATTATAATTAAAATAGTTGCATTTAATTGAATAATTGTTTTATTAAAAATGTTTTAATACATAAATAAACCAGCTTAGCATAATTAACGTAAATTTTTTGTTTTTTTTTTTTTATTTCTAGATATATTTGAGAACTATATTATTTCTGAAGTTAAAATAATTATGATTCATTATATAAATTGTTGAAAAGAGAGCAAATTGTTTTCAATTAAGTTTTAAATACTAATCGATTTATTAAATATAAATGAAAATATAATTTTGTTGTTTAAATTTTTATAGTTATTTTATAATTATTTGAAGAGTAATTTTTATAGAGCTAGTCAAATGTCTATTTTATATATAAAATTTTCTTACACTTTTAAACGTATTATATTTTATTGCTAATATACTTGATTATATTATTTTATAGTTAATTAGTAATATAAAGCAATGTATTTGCAATAATATTTGAAAATTAATTTGAAATTATAGTATATGAATTTCTAATTGAATACAACAAAATAGCTAGTTTGTTTGGTGTTAAATAACCATAGCTCTGTTGAAAAGTTTTGAATGTATGTTCCTATGTTTGTTACAAAATTCTTTTGGAATATTATAATTTGAGCATTTTTATTATAGACAATAATAGTTATGAAAATTAATCAATTAAAAATGATGTTCAAAATAACAAAAACGTATTAAGTTCATAAAGGTATTGTTACAATATGAATAATTAATTACAATCAGAAAGAAATATATCCAAAAAAAAATAAGCATAAATAAATAAATAAATAAATATAATAGTTAGAATTAATTAATATTAAATTATTTCTATGCTTACTTACGAATGCTAATATATTTATGAAAAATCAAACGTTAGAAAAAAATATCATAAAAATGATCGAATAAATAAATTGATATATTTACTGTTCAAGTAAATTATTAAAAAAGAAATTTAATCATTTTAATTGATAATATCCATAATGTAAAAACAATAGAATAGATTTAGAATTTGAAGTTTTCAATTTAAATTCAGGATGTCTGGAAATCGAATTTACATTTACTAGGAAATAGAAGTTTTTTAAACTGTATAGAACATCATAATAATGTGAGGAATTAATTATTCCAAATATATTTAAAAGATAAAGAACTCTAGGGCAGTATATTATTTATTTTAACGGGTAATTAATGCAATTATTAATTATAAACAATTGATGACGACGACGACGACGACGACGACGACGACGACGGCGGCGGCTATAATAATAATAATAACAATAATAATAATAATAATAACAATATTAACAATAATAATATCAGAAATAGGAATAATTAATCAGAAATAGTAATAAGAAAGAGAATTGGAAGGTAAATAAGCATAATAATAACGTAATAATGAGTAAACAATAAATATGATCGTTAAAATGAAGCTAAAAGTGTCTTTATTACGAATGATCCTAGGAATATTTGGAAGTAGCAAAAATAGAATATGCATTACGACATCACAAGTAAATAGAAAGATACATTATTAAGTGGCTTGGAAAGTTTTTGGAAATGACATGTCGTCGGAGTCATCGATTGTTCAATTTTACGCTTACAGACATTTAATGCAAAGTATTTTCAATTGATAAGAAATTATCTATAAAGACAGGAAAAAGAAAGAATGAGGGGCGTGGAGAGAGTCAAGGT